AATAAAAATCGTCCTTGATAATGGCTAAAAGAATAGCCAAAAGTACTCAGATATGCAAGACTTTTGGACAGTTCTTGCACGCTTTGTGTCCAGAAAAGAAAACACTTGTATGAACACAAGAAAAATTAAATAAAATGCTTAATCACAGAACCTTGTCAGTCATCTTTGACAACACTTGTATAAAAGTGGGATTGCTGCTCAAATAAACAACATATCAAATTTTTGGGTAAAAAAGTGTTTATTTCAGTTTTTCTTTCATATCACCTTTTAAATCTATGCTTGTCAAAAATTTGTATATTTCTGATCCTTGCTGCTTCTTTAAGTTATAGTATGTAAACCCAACTTGAGCATTGTGATAAAAAGCAATAAAAATGTGTTTTGTTCATCATTAGTTCAATTATATTTTCAATATAGAAGGAAATTTTCTCACAGTATTAATCAACCCATATTCAATTGAAAAGAAAAAAAATGTTAATAATCATGTTGTTTCTAACTTTAAGAAAAACATTTAATCCATCTTTTGCAGCTAATGAATTGACCAAAGCAATGCGAATCTTGGGCACAGAGCGTGACAGCATTGGTTTAAGGGACAGAATGTGAGTAAATATTTTAGATCACCATTAAAAATAAGAATGAAATAAAAAAATATATAAATATAAAATATCAAAATGAATTCCAATATGAAATTTAACTTAATATTTATTATATACTGTACCTATGAACTCTAATTGGGTATGTCCCAATCCTCATAAATACATTGGACACTACTGTAATGGGGGGGGGTGATATGCTGTCTAAGTAGTCCACCACTAGCAGTGGTTTAACTGGTGAGTATTGTATTTTGTTGATGAAAGATTTACATTTCATTTCCAACCTCCATTTTGGTTATTCCTCATTCAGTATGTTATAGACGAGCGTATGGTTGCAAGAAAGAAATACGACAAAAGCAGAAATAGATTTACGTGGTTTATTTCAGCAGTAACGTGTGGGTTTGGGACAGCTACCTTATGGTAAAGTTCATAAGGAGGCTTCGGATCTAGGTCGATCTCTCATAGTAGTTCACACATGTTGACGGTGGTTGATGCTCCTCTGCTGTCAGCTGCTGACCGTGACAGGTCTCTACCCTGGGCACCTGTGGACTGCCCTGTTGAACTTCCGTGTGACCCCTTTTATAGCGTTTTTTATGGCTTAACAGGCTCGAAAAACGAAGCGAGTATAATTAGGAGGGAAGCATTTTTATTGGACGAAAAATAGAGCACTTTAAATATTATTTTATTTTTCGACCAGAAGACGTGTGTCAGGAACATTTGTAAACGAAGATAATGGTCATTTTGTGACGGGGCTTTGTCCCGTTCACATCCGGCTCTCGCTCTTGAGTATTTGCCTGTAAATCAGCCGAGATATGTCTTATTTTATTTTATAACAAGTAACTCTTTCTAAGTTACGACACTAATATAGATGACATTATATAAAGATTCCAGTATATCAGCAAATCTTTTAATAAATTTAGTTTTATTACCAAAAGTAAATCAATGATAATCTTATTAATCTATTTGTAATAGTAAAATCTTTGATAAACATTTTGATGGCAATCTAGTAAATTATCATGGCATTCTAATAACAAGAAAAGTCAACATCGTATATGCTGTTACAGTAATGTGCATACAGAGATTCATTTCAGGTATTTGTCGGGGAAAAGAAACTATGCAACTGAGATCAGATTAATTGATGAATAGATTGAAACAAGTAAAAGGAGTGGGTGATAAAAAATGAGAGATAAACGCTAGGCCCACAAAAACACCAGGAAGCAAGACAAATTATGAAATAATACTGTTATATACTGTACCTATGAACACAGGTATGTCCTAATCCTCATAAATATGCTGGACACTACTGTAAGTGGGGGGTAATATGCTGTCTAAGTAGTCCAACACTAGCAGTGGTTTACCTATTTCACACTGCTAGTGAGTATTGTATTTTGTTGATGTTATAAAGATTACCATTTCATTTCCAACCTCCATTTTTATTATTCCTTATTCAGTAACCCTTTCTGGGTTACAACAATATTATTTTAATTTATTAAGATATAAGATTACATTTGGGCTACTGTAATCAGTTGATCATTGTAGCCTAATTGGTAAGGCAGATGACATGGACAGGCAAGCTTCCCCAAAAAAGGTATGCAAGTTCAAATCTTGTTTTGTAGTTTATTATTTCCAATACAAACTGCTTGCTGATAATCATTGTTTGACAGCCTGAGTATTGTGATAAAAAGCAGCAGGAAATATTGTAAGACTTGTCAAAATTTAATAATATCTATAGTGTTTAAGCTTCCATAGGCTTACCATTTTTTTCTTTTATTATAGTTCATTTTGAGATATTAAAAAAAATATACTCTTATTTTTGTATCATCTTACTTGACTTGAATTAAACTCTCCTTATAATTCTTCTCTGTATAGTTTGGTTATCACTTTTCTTTTGAAGCCATCATAAAAATTCAAGATATAGAATTATTAAATACTAAACACTTCAAATACTTCAATGTATGAATCAGTTATAACAAATTTATTATAGAACCTAAGAAAACTGAATATAGGCTGTGCTAGGAGTAGTTTCACACAATACCACAGGTTGCTACAAAACCAAAACGTTAACCTAAAAACTGAAGTCATGTTCTTAAATAGTCTTGTCAGAACGAGACTTTCATATGGATGTCATACATAGCGTGAAACTCATTCAGAAATATCTAAATTGTCAGCTGTATCCAACCGCTTTCTCAAATCGGTGGTTAAAAATGGCTTCAAGTGAGTGAAATTTATGTATAAAATTCAAAGAAAACTCTTACTTTGACTGTACAATGATACCTTGACTCAAGTTGTTTCGAGTTAAGTCATTTTCAAAGATACGTCAGTTTTTCTTAAATATTATATGGAATAATAAAACTCACCTTAGGTCATTTTTACTCAAGTTTACATCAACCGTTAAAAATATTAGAAACATCAAAACATTAAATAACAATAAACACATTTCAAATTATATTAAAAAAAATTTAACAATAATATTATATATATCATAAACTCATCAAAAACAAAAAAAATTAGCATACCAAAGTATGTTCAGCAGATGTTCTTATTTTAAATTCCTGTCGGAAGGCGGCACTCATGCATTGGTTTCCGCTCCCACACCGTTTTTGAATTCAGACTTGTTTACATCTGTGTTCTGCTGTTGACATTCTTTCAGTTACATTTCACTTGTGATTTAGAATACATTTTTGCCTATGTCTCCGAAGAAGTCCCAGTGCTAATGCTAAGCATAAAGCTATATTGCTGGAAGATAAGGTGGAAAATAATTATTTTATTTAGAATATTGTATGTACATATCATAAATACTGTAATAGACAATAGAGAGTGCTTATTTACAGTTTATAATCTGGTTATTTCTACTAAGGTTGAAAAACGACAAAAGTCATGACCTCTAGAACCAAATAATGACGTTTTAATTCAAAGAAACTCTTATTACTTTTAGTTCAAAATATCGCAGAATTTCATTTTTTTAACACAGTGCTAACTGTTTTTATGAGGTGTTGACATATCTATGATAACCTGATGTTTTTGAGATTTATTTTTGGAGAAATAATTGTAAAATTACACAACAAATACAACATAAATGCCTTTTTTAGATAATTTTAATTACCCAGTAATCTTTAAAATTTTAAATAAAATATTTTATTGAAGTTTAGGTACTTTGGCTTTATCGTCTTACAAAGACACTTGAGAAAATGTTACAAAGCTATCAATAAATTTTAAATATGCTATTGTTACCAATGTTATTTTCTGATAATGTTGTGTATAGAATTCAAAATTCTTTTTAAACTACTGGGGATTTCTGAATTGTAGTAAGCATTTTTGATTTATGATTAGTAAATTTAGTTTTTACTTAATAACAATATACACATTAATAGAGAATTTTAAAAGATTTTAAATTTTATAAATTATAATAACTAAATTATTTTTAAAAATGAAAACAATTCTTGTAAAAATTCATCATTCATCAAAAAAAAATTTTTTTTCTTAAGAGAATAGTGTCCATAATATATCTTAGGTTGTATTTTACAATTATTTCCCCCAACATAAATCCCACAAACATTTTCATAGATGTGTCAACACCTCATAAAAACAATTTCCACTGTGATATTTCATAAAAGCAATTAAAAGCTTTTGTCATATAAATAATTTCTTAATTTTATTACATTTTGTATTTTATGATTCAGAGCAGATTTTTCTGAAAATGTCTGACAAAAGAGTTTGATTTAAATTTTCCAGGAACTTGTCCTTATAAAACATTAAGCACTAAAAGAAAGAATTTTTTGAAATTTCATAAAATTAAATAAGTGTGGTTTAACAGTTGTAAAACACACACACACACACACACACACACACACACCAAGATTTTTTTTTTTAAAAAAAGGAACATTTAAAAAATAATTTAATTTGTGAATAAGTCCTGAAAGTTTCATTAGAATGTAACAATTATCTGATTTTTGCAAGAATTTTCAAATCAGTCTGTTTTTTCACTGCAAAAAGACACTCAAATTACTCATGCTAATTTATGCTAATCCATTGACATCAGAGAAACAGGATTTTTAATAAAGATTTAAAAGGTTCTAAAAAGGATTATTAAAAAAAAAAGATTTTACATCAAAATACCTTTGGTCTTTCTGATTAATAACAATAGATTTTGATAAAACTTTTAAGTTTTGGGCATTTTTTTCAACATGTCTGCTCTTTTTTTAATGAAACTTTGAAGGTGGCGAATTAAATAATATAAACTTGCTCAATTAAATTGCATGTAAACTTATATAAACAGTTAAGTTCTATGCAGTCATTGCTTGATATTGAAGAAAATTTATATATTTGTGTGTATAGAAATAAAATTGGTTATTTTTCAGCCATGAACGATCACAGAGCACAAATGAAATTATTGCAGATACTACAAAGCTTATGAAACGCTTAGCACGAACCAGAAATATCTCTCAAGTAAGAAATTTTCACTTTTAGATTTCTCAAAAGGCAATTGCTTGTAATACACATGGCTCTTCATAGTTACAGATTTGTGCCAAGAAAGGAATGTGAACATACAATGGGGTGACCCAGTCTTTCGACCCCCCCCCTTCTGCCAACAAATCAGTCCCCCACATTGTTTTGCTTCTCATTTGTTTTGTACAAAGACTGGAAAAGACTTGCTGTACATTCACAAGAAGCAGAAGATGAAATCAGCAGCTAAATCTTTATACGCTGATTTGATCAGGACTTATTTTTGATGTAAGATAGACAAATTATATCAGTTTTTCAACTATTACCCTCAACACTTATATCTCTTGTTCTTTCTCTGAAGGATTTGTTTAAGTTACCATTTATCAGCTTGATACAGTAGATAGTCACTTCTTGCTGTATTGAGATAATACTTAGGAAGCAGAAAGAAAACAACAAAATTTTATGGAGCAATGCTAACATTTATTCTTCAAAATAATGTCCATCATTCTCAACAATATTCCGCCAGCGATCAGCCAGCATCCGAATCTATCCCAGATATCAGTTCACTGGCTTTGAATCAAAAAACTGTAAACAAGCTTCCTTCACTTCATCAAAAGTATTAAATGACTGCTTGTAGAGGAAGTGTGCCATTGAATGGAATAAGCCATAGTCACTCGGAGCAGCATCGGGACTGAATGGTGTATGTGGAAGAATCTCAACACTGTCCATTTCTATTTGAGCTTCTCCTTGGTCAACCTGGCAGTGTGTGGCCTCGCATTGTTTTGCTGAAATAAAGCCCAACTTTGATTGACCAAAACAGGATACTCCTTTAGTTTGTCATACAGGCAGTCTAGCTGCTGGTGATACAGTTTAGCATTGATAGCACAACCATGTGGAGCAGGGTCAAAATGTAGTACTCCTTGGAAATTCCGCCAGACAGAGATCAAAACTTATTGTTTTCTTTTCTTTCCACTTCATAGTGAGTAAGGACTTTCTAACCAACCTTGTGTGCATATATATATATATATATATATATATATATATATTAATTGATTTAAAATGTTTTTTTTTCATTACACCATTTTAACCATTGAGCACTATTTTGTAAAAATAAAAATATCTATAAGAACACCGGATTATATATCTTACTGTTCTTTCATTTTATTTTTTATATATATATATATATATATATATATATATATATATATATATAGAGAGAGAGAGATTCAAAGCTAACACAGGAGTTAGAAAATTTTGAAATATACAGGGTGGTCCGAAAGTCTTGACACTGTCACACATCAAGAAGGTCTGTATGGACACCATTTTTGCATGTCCACCATCTGAAATAGAAAATTATATTATGTAAAGGTGACAAGACTTTCAGACCACTCTGTATTTAGTGGTAGACAGATTAATACTAAAAAATATTAAGTTTGTTTTACTTAATGAAGTTTTTTTAATTATTTTGTAAGATTATGAAGTGATTAATTTAGGAACATGATTTTCTGTTATAAATTTCAATTTGGTTTTGTTCCTCTGTTTTGATCCACTCTTGAACAACAAACATTAAATACAGGAACCACTTCTTTATTTTTTGTCTATATCCCTTTATGTGATTGACTTGTTCAATATCTTAAATACCAATGAATGTTTGTCTTTATCAATACTAAATATTATCTTATTATAATTTTGCTTGTCCTTCCCTTAGCACATAATTATGTTACACCCTGCCAATATCTCATAAATGATGGACTGTTCCATTTTGATCATGGACAGACAAGATGGAAAGGACATGTCAGAGACGCTACTTGGTTTCAGTGAGAAAATGAAAGAAAGAAGCGTTTAACAGCTGTTTCAGTGAAATGGAAAAAATTGTCAATTCCAAATTTTTTCATTTATAGTCTCTTATTTATGATTGTTATTGAAATATCAAATAAGAAAACCGTAGAATTCTCAAATGTATTTATAGTTGTTCTTATGTGGTCTGCTATTGTCCACATTATTTAAAAAAAAAAAAGAAAAGAATACTTTAGATGTACTTTGCTCATCTGCTGCCACTGTCATATGATTCATTCCTTCACCACACCATCAAAATATTTTCTGTTTGTACAAGTGTAGGGTAGAGTGACAGAAGGTTCTTAGTATTTTTTATTGGAACTTAGGAAATAAAACAAACTGAATCAAGGGTACACACAAATAATATATCTTTATTTGATTTAAATTGGAGTGAGTCCTTTGATATTCAGTATAGAAAGTGTTTACAAAGCAGATCTTGGTAGCAGTCGAGAGAAAGTCCTTTCCGGCTCAGTAGGTGACACTTTGAAAGTCAGACCTTGGAAAAAGTTTTCATCTTAGAAATAGATATGGCGTCAATCTGCTGTCCTTTGTCGGTTTTAAGAAGGGTAGAAAAAATATCTTAAGTGGTTAACCAATTAACTTCTTCACATGACATCTATGGCTTCTCTGACACTCCTTTTTTGCCTCACAACTGTCAGTTTATATCTTTCTTTTTTTTTTTTCTTTTCTGACACAGTTCCCAGGCTACTGGTACAAATCTTGGTTTCAGCTAACATCAAAAATCTCTTTGTTAATTTTTTAGAGTGGCCAAAATCATTTTATTTTCCAGTGTTCTTTTCTTTTTTCATTTAGTAGAAGTTATGCATGGAGCCTATCTGATTTTTTGGTAGTTTTTAGTCACAGATGGTTAGACTTTGGTCTAGCAAACTTCCGCCATTTTTAAGCCAGATTCACTTTTTCATCTTCCTCTTTTTTTTTTTTTTTTTTTTTTTAAGGGTTGTCTTCTTATTAAAAGAGAGAGAGAGAGAAAAGTGTTTTAAAGGAAAGCACAAATGGATTATTTTAATTTGAATTCTTTTTATTTTTGTTTATTTTTTTATATATTTTTTTATCAAGACTCACTACACAGGCCACAGTTGGACAACTATTTCAAATTTATTTATAAATGAAACCACAAGATCAAATAGAAGATAAATGAGGGTGATAGTAATATTGTGTTGTACCAGTCTTCTAAATAGATCATTCGTGCCTGCCTTGAAAATCAAGAAAATATACAAGGTTACTGTGAGGTGGTTATTGATGGATTTATCTACAAAATAAAATATGATATTGTTACAAGTAAAGCAACTGTGGTACCAACAGATTTCATCTATTAGTATATTAAAAGGGTTTATTCAGAAATACCCTTAAAGTTAACATGTTCACTGTTACTTTGAATATTTGTAATCTTAAATAATACCATCTGTTTTCTTCTTCATCTTCTTTTTTTTTTTTGATTCTTTTTTTTTTTTTTTTTTTTTTTTTTTTTTTTTTAACTATATCCCTTCCATAGCCTTTAATATTGTGAATTGCCATGACTTCCTAAGAAAGATAGTGATAAATTCAGAAATTTTCTTCTCTTAGATTGACTGCTACCCAAGGATAGAGTTCCTAGTTTATCCTTTTATTTACCCCACAGCTGGGGAAAGAAGGAATGGTTTCATACCTTTTCCAAGAGCATTAGTACAAAGTTTTCACAACAAACAAGGTCAGAATTTGAATTTACCAATTCTACTTTCTGCACCTATAACCGTTATGCTTTATGCTCATTTCCTAATTACATTTCTTTCCTATCCATTTCAGATGTAGGAAATCACGGCTCTCCATAGATTCATTTTCTTTATTATTTATGAATTGTCATAACTTCTTGGGGGAAAATAATCGAGTAGTCTCCCCTTTCTGTGTCAATGATTTGAAATTCAGTTTTCCTTCTCTTAGATTGTTGACATCTTATGTTCCCTTCTAATTACATATACTACCCATTTTAATTGTTGCTCCTCTTTGAAAATGTTCAAGTAATGTGGTTTTATTCTTTGGTAATGTTTTTATATTTGTGATTCTATAGCACCAGCTTATAGGGTTTGATGAAGTATCATAAAGATTTATATGCTCAATTCCTTTTGAAATCATTTTTAAGCATTGTTCTAAAAAAGAAAAGAGAATAAAAACACTCTATACAGATGATAATTAAAACATTTTTGATTGAGTTGGGTGCTATTCATGACATCCACATGAGTAGATCTGATAAGGCTAATTAAGAACATAACTTATAACTGATAGTTTAGACATTTTTGAATGATTTGGACACATGCATGACATCCACATGAGAACATGATTTGAGTTCTTGGATTAATATTTTGGTTTTGCAGCATCTTGCAGTGTTAGACAAAAATACACCTAGCAAATCCTAACCTATATTCAATTTCTTTATCTCCTATACTAAATTTGTTATAACTGATCCATTCTAGTATTTGAAATGTTTATTGGGAAATTTATTCAAATGTCCAGGGATAGTGTTTCATCAAATGATAAGATCTCTTAATACCTAAAAGAAAATGGCTGTTATAAGTTGAACTTATAAGTGTATCTATCAAATTACTTTTATTCAGCTTTTAAGTGTTATAGAATACAGGACTTCCCTTGCTTATCAACAAAATAGGTCCTTGATGTTAGTTTATAAATCTAGATATAATAATAAAGATGTTTATAATATTTATAATGCTAAAATGGAAAATTCAAGCAAAAAATATTTACTCACATATTTTAAAATATTATTCACTTATTTAAAATCTTTCAATTTTTTGTTATAAATATTTGTACTTATTTTTATTGCTGTCTTCTCTAACCAATAAAGCTTACTTTGTTTTTAATGTTATGCCTACTAGCATTAATTCACATTGTGAATGATGATCGGAGTGTACTGGCTTTGTTCAACTATTGTTCACACCTGATTGTGGGCTCTCTCCCAGAAACTGTAACTTAGGTCTACTTAGCATAGTTGCAGTATAAACCACAACTTTATAGGAGTAGATATGTTTATCTATTGTCCAGTTCACACTCCACTTTGGTCTTTTGAACATTAAGAGGTTTATCCCTTGTTTCCTATTTAGGATTGAGTTTCAAGTTTCTTGTTAAGTCTACTTCAACTCTGTAATATTAACGTCTGTGCCTGAACTCTGAAATTTTATTCACTATTTATTTTTTCTCTTCTCCATCACTAGTAATTGATAGGTTCACCTATCATCCAATTTACACTCCTCTCCTGTCTTTTGAATAGGAGTAGTGGTTTATCCCTTGTTTTCTGTTTAGAATTGGATTTCCACTTTCCTCTAAAATCTACTTCAGCTCTGTACTCCTAATGCTTGTCCATTCCTCCACTAATACAACTCCACACAATAACCCTCTACCTTGAGTGGCTTTTGAGCCTTATATTGAGTGAACATTAGTATAAAAAAAAAAACAAAAAAAAAGGCTTTGTGGATGTTGAATAAACATAAAATATAGCTGAAAAGGTATCTGCAACAAGGATTAATTAGCCACCCTAGTAAACTCTATCATCTCCCAAGACTGGTGGGTGTCTACTACATACCTTAATACTCCTTTACTATTATGAAGTTTTGCCACTCATGTTAAACAATTCACATTGCAACTGTTTACCAAGTAGAGTAAGTTGCACATGGCCCAGTGGATAAAAGCATTGGTTGGATTCAGTGACCTGACCCAAAGAGTTATGAGTTCAATACCTAGCTACTGCAGTGGTGAACAAAAACTTGGGGAGTTGAGTTAAAGGGAGATAACTGAGACATCCAGAAGAGGCATGGCACGTGGAACTAGAACAATCTACCCCCCCTAGTGGACAAAATAAAGGGTTCAGTTTGATATTCTAATCACCTGAAGGAATCCGGAGCATACAATGGCTGAAATGTCATGAATATGGCAATAAAGATGAGGACAGTAGTCTGAACAATGTAAATAATTACAGAAATATAGACATATAAGGGAGATTAAAGACTAATTTCTAATTATAAAAATATAGACATATAAGGGAGATTAAAGACTAATTTCTAATTATAAAAATATAGACATATAAGGCAGATTAAAGACTAATTTCTAATTATAAAAATATAGACATATAAGGGAGATTAAAGACTAATTTCTAATTATAAAAATTAGTTTTAAAAATTTAACAAGGCCTCAAAAATATAGCAAAGAATTTAACAAAAAAAAAAATTGGGGGGCCCATGTCTTCTTTTTTTGCCTGTATATTTAAACTATAATTATAAATTATAATTTTGGAAAGGGAAATTTCACTGGTATATGTTGGAAACTTTCAAAGTTTTAGCTTTGAAATCTGCTTACAGTCAAATCATGCTGGAAATGCTGGTTCTAGTTCAATCGGCAAAATTAAGCAGAGTTGAGCCTGATCAGTACTTGGATAGAGTACCACTTTTGAACACTGGGTATTGTAAGTACCCTCCAGAAATCAAAAATATGTTTCAGTTTTAAATAATTCACAAAAGAGTTAAACCATTAAAAATCAATCAACAGTTTGTAATTAAGAAAATACAAACTTTAAGCAAAAATGGCCACCGTTTGAATTGACAAGCAGAAGGACAGAAGTTAAAGAAGATAAATTCTGAGTTTAGATGTCTCAGCCTAAATTTACCAGTTCTACTTTGTGCAACTATAACTATTTGCTCGTTTTGTAGTTACCTTTCTTTCCTATCCGTTTTGGATATAGGAAATCACGGCTCTCCACAGTTTTCTTATCTATGAATTGCCATAACTTTTTGCAAAAAATAAGGGATTAGTCTCCCCTTGCTGTCTCCACAATTTGAAATTTAGAGTTTTCTTTCTCTTAGACTGTTACCATCTTATGTTCCCTTCTAATTACATGTACTAACATTTTAGTTGTTGGTCCTGTTTTGTGAAAACCATAGATAATCATTAAGAGCACAGATACACAACTTCCGTGTTTATAACATGACAACAGCTGTAATGCTTACTGAACCAGTATGTTATTTAAAATTTGAATTTACAGACAGGTTTGTATCTTTCAAAGTTTGTAACTTGAATGTTTAAGTAAAAGATTGCTTGTATAAATTATTTGATAGGAAAGAAAACATTTTTTTTTTTATTTCAGAGCCAGAAATTCCAGCTTGAAAGGTTGAGGAATGACTTTGAAGAAAGTGTAAAGAGATTTACAGAACTTCAGAAGGTAATGGTTAAACAATTCACATTACAACTGCTTACCAAGTAGATAAGTCAGGTTAAAGACCAATTTCTAATTATAGAAATTAGTTGTAAAAATTTAACAAGAACTCAAAAAAGTAGAGGTATGCTTAAGCAAGTAATTTTTTAATAAAAGCACTTCAGTGTTTCAATTATTTTCCCTAGAATAAATGAGCAATTTTTTTCATTACTGTAAACAATGTGGCAAAATCATGAAATGGAACAATGGGTCAATGTGTTTATCAGATAATCATATTTACACATATTTTTCACATATTTAAGTGAACTTACAATTTGATAGATTTCCAAACTGCATTTTCTAGCTCTTTATTTTTTCATGCTCTTTTTTTTTTTTAAGTTATGAGGGTTGCAGATACATTAATAGAAAATGCATCTTCAAGAAAATGTTGAAAATTTAGGTTGAAGTGATGGCAAACATGGACAAATGTGCCTGCAATATGACCTGTCAAAACAACATTTTTTCCCCGACACTTTTATTTTTTTATTTTTTTTTTTTTTTAACTCTCTTCACTCTTTGGCAATCTTTATTGTTATAAATAGCAATATTAGAATTGGAATAAAACCTAAACATATGTAAGTGAATTTATACATTTTTTTCATTCTTGAGAATCAACAAGAAAAGTAACAAACCCTGTATTAATTTATTAGATTATTTATTTACACTATTTATTCTATTATTTATTGGAATGGTTGGTAAAAGATTGACTAAATGCCAATTGATTCAATCTTTATAAAATAATATATAATAAGGCTTTCAATTTTTATAAATTTATGAATAAAAAATTGTTTTTATATATATTTCTTTATAAATTGGTAAATGATAAATATTGCATTGCTTCAATTCTAATTGTATTATATCTTAGAATATTGTACATTATAAAATTATTCTAATGAAAATTTTTAAAAACTGTAAACAATTCTTGTAAGAATTCATTATCCACTGAAAAAAAAAAAGATTTTCTTAACACAATAGAGTCCATAATATAAAAGCATTTAAAATCTTTTCAAACTAAATAATGTCTTAGATTTATTACATTTTTTTTTATTTAACTATTCAGAGCAGATTTTTGGTAACTGGGAGTTCTGGTTTACAAAAAAATTAATGATTTAAATTCTCCAAGAACATTTTACCAAAATTTTAAAAAAAATAAATAAATAAATACATTGTTTCTAAACTAACTTTATTCATTTCTAGATAAAGTTTTGTTAAAATCCGACAGTTATTTGATTTTTGCAAGAATTTCAAAATCAGTGTTTTTCTTGCCACAAAAAGAGACTAAAATTTCCTATACTAATTTATGGTCAACTGCTGGTGTTAAAAAAAAAAATTTAACCAAAATTTTGAATGTTCTAAAAAGGGTTTTAAAAAAAAAAAAAAAAATTAATAATCAAAATAATAAAGATTTTGATGATAAAACTTTGTTTTTATTGAGTTTGGGGCATTTTTACACACACACACACACACACACACACACACACACACACACACACACTCATTTTTTAGCAAAACTTTATGGGGAGAAAATGTGTCCATATAAAAATGACATCAAGAGAATATGAGTTAATACTATATAGTTATTGAATTTCCACCTTATGAAAATGTAGTATATTTATTATGTTTCATTACTAAAATATTTTTCTTTTTTTCTCTTCTAGAAAGCAGCTGAAAAGGTTCGGACCTCAAAAAGCGTAAGGCCACCTACACAAACTGCTCTGATTGACTTCACGGTGAGATTTTTTTTTTTTTGTGTAGAACTTTATTTCAGAAAAAACTTAAATATATTTGTTTTTGTTTTTTTTTCTTTTTTTTTGTTTTTTTTTGTTTTATCATTTCACTCCATGCAAAGTAATAAAGCCACTAAGACACAAGGAGGTGGTTACTGAGTGTTAAAGAATATGAGAAAATATACTACAAAGGAGAGAAGACAATAAAAGAACAAGAATTAAGAAGACAGAAGATCACAATTGACATTGCTTTTAAATTTTTTGAAGATCAAAATTTACTGGGAAGCAAGAAGCCAGAAGAGAGTTCTACAGGCAAGAAATGCGAGAGAAGAAACTGTTAGCATAGAACTTACAATTACATCCAGCTATTTCAAATATAAAGTGATGAGACCTTGCTACCAATCTAGTACTGTGCTTAAATTCATGATGTCTAATTAGCATAGATGAAGGTTCATCAGAACAATTAGCATGAAAGTATTTATAGAAAAGTCGCAACTACGTTATGATGATGAGAAAGTGACTGAAGCTAAGTTACCAGGTCAGGACCAATAACATTGCAAATTCTTTGGATTTTATCAGGAATCTCTAAATATATAGCAGGAACACCAGACCAGATCTGGCAGTAATATTCAAAGCAGGAGTGAATGATAGTCTTATAAATATGTAAGATAGATTGTGTTGAGAAAAATTTCCTAGCCTGACACAGTGAACCAACTTTCCTTGCTACAATTGATTCGATATACTCTTTCCATTTCATGTCAGCGACCTTGGAGTTTGAACCTGTTCATAATTATATTTTAAATTTTGTTAATTTAATTATGAATTGCCATTGAAGATGATTTATGCTTTAATTTTGGTAAACAGAATTAAATTTTGAGGAATGTTTTTTTTTTTTTTTTTTTCACTCTGTAATGTGTTGTGACATATTTGTGTATTATAGCTTTTAGTTTTTTAAGCTTTTTTTGTTTAAATGCTAATCTTCTATGTGCCATGTCCCCACAATTTCCTGTCCTTCGTAGTTCTTAGTAAATTTTGTCTTTTTTTTTTATCTCTCCTAAACTTTGTTCCACCATCTGTTTACTCAAGCTCACTAGGTAGGTTATGCATTGTCTTCCTCTGTCCCTCAATCTGTCCTTTGAGTATCAAATTTCCCAAGCCCTCTTTCCTCAATATGTGCTCTAGAAATTTCAACTATCTCTTGCTGATATTAAGTATAGGCATAGGTGTCCTTTTTGTTTCCATCTTCACTAAAATTTTGTCATTTTTCACATTTTCAGTCCATGGTATTCTCGGCATCCTTCTGTAGAACCTCCTTCCATGTCATTACCCCTGGATACCTACTTTTATGTATAGATACGGCATATGAGGGAATAGCCATGTCTGCAGCTTGACTCTCAGTTAGCTGAATTTTGATCCAAAATTTTGTTTGTTCTGTGTGCTTACTTTTCTTCACTGAATTAGTGCATTAACAAGAAAAGGAGATTGTAAAAAAAAATATTTGAAATTTTCTTTCTTTTTTTTTTTTTTTTGTCTATCCTTTAGCTAAGGCGGTGTTTCTCAATCAGTGTGCTTGGGAGCACTATTGCACCCTAAGAAGTAGCTAGGTGTGCCCCAAATTAACAGAAGAGTAATTCATAAATTATTTTTATATTTAAAAATAATCTTTATTTTTAAAAAGCCAGAGACAACAAGCACTTGGCTTCTGTGTCTAAATCAAGTCTTTGTCATTTGATATTTTAAGTTGGATGCTAAATTCCTTAATCTTTAAGGAGTAGATAATCCTTTCCCTCATTTGTTATATTGTGATTTTTATAGTAATACAATACTTTTATTAATATGTTTATATTAACACAATATTTTTTATTAATATGCTTATATTAATACAATATTTTTATTAATATGTTTATATTAATACATGTTATATTGTGATTTTTATATTAATACAAAAAACATTTCATTTGAGATAATTTAACCTGCTTTAATTTTTGTTTAGATGTCTTTTATTTAAATTGAGAAATAAACCTAATTTTATTCTGTCTATTCAGGATGATGATGAAGAAGCTCTTATTGAGAAGGAACGCAGAAAAGAGCAGTTGCTGCAGCAACAAGAAGTTATTGAAGAAGACACGGCTTTGATTCTTGAGAGAGAAGAGAGGATCCGACAACTGGAGGCTAGTTCTCTTATATATTTAAAAAAGAAAAAAAACAAGAAAAAACTTAGTGAAATATACTTTTCTGCTCTCTCAATAATTTATTCTCCATGATAATTGAGTGTAATAGATGTCTGACAGATTTTTTTTTTTTTTTTTTGCCCAAAATATTACCAGTTTTATGTAAACACTATCCAATCAATTTTTCAAAATCCGAGAAAAGAATTATTTAATTTCATAGATATGCCATACTTTCTGGCATCAGGTTTTTTTTTGGGGGGGGGGGTTAGCCCAAAATATTACCAGTATAATGTAAACAGCATCCAATCAATTTTTCAAAATCTGAGAAAAGAATTATTTAATTTCATAGATATGCCATACTTTTTTTTTTTTTTTTTTTTTTTTTTTTTTGTGGCATTTGTAGAAAGGGAGATAACTCAATAGGACTCACTTCGGGTACTAAGTTGTGGCACTGCTTATTTTTGCACCTACTAGATATAATCAAAATTTGCATATTTTGAATGATCTCTGTTTTTTGGGGTTGGGGTGGAGGTATTTTGGTTGTTTTCTTTCATTTTCTATAGTCTATCTCAAATTTGACTTTATATCTTTATTTTATTTTTCAGGGTGATATTCTTGATGTAAATGAAATATTTAAAGAACTTGGTACAATGGTTAATCAACAGGGAGAGCAAATAGGTTAGTAATACAATCTATATACACCCAATAATTACTGAACCATTTCTTAATATTTTTATAGTTTTGTAAAGTTTCATGAAAATTTCCAGTAATTTTTTTTTTTCTTTCTGTATATGCCTACTCAAAATTATGCATGTTTATAGCCAAGACACAAAAACAACATCAACAAAAAAAACTTAAGGAAGAATTTTCTGGTGGGTTAGGCAGGTGCAAGAAAATTTGAGCTAAAAGAAGACCTACAACTAGTTTTCAAAAAGAAATGTACCATTTGCTTCAAAAAACAAATGGATGATGAGCTTGATAGACTTGAAAAAATGGGTGTTTTATCAAAGGTGTAAAATAACGATTGTGTTTTGCTAACCATTTATATAAAGAAAAAGTCAAGAGATACGTGTCTGCGCAGATTTTTCCACGGGCTTGATGCCCTCAAAAGTTATCATTACCCACTTCCAGGGCCAGAAGTGTTTTTTTTTGTTTTTTTTTTTTTCACAGCTTAGCGGGGGTTTGATATTTCCCAAAATCGACATAAGTGATGTGTATCTTCAGATTCCAGTAGACGACAAATGTTCAAGATTATTGACCGTAAATACACATCATGGGATGTACAAATTTAATTGTTTGCCTTTTGGTATAAAGGTTGCTCCAGTATTTTTTCAGCAAGTAATGCTGAGTGGACTGGACTTTGCAGTTGCGTATCTTGACAATATTTTGTTGAAAAGTGAAAACGCAGAAGAACAAAAGAAAAATATTTTCAAAGTTTTCAGAAGAATTCAGGACTATGGATTCAAACTGAAGGACAAAAAGTGTGAATTCTTTATGTACAAAATTAAATATTTAGGTCAGATAATTGACAAGAAGAGCAGGAGACGAAATCCAGCACAAGCCAGTGCTATAAAAGACATGCCTGCTCCTGAAAATGTCAGTACTCTACAAAGTTTCCTGGAGTTAGCAAGTTACTATAATGTATTTGTACCAAATATGCATTGTTTTCAAGCTCTGTAGAATGAGCTTTTGAAGAAAAATGCCAAATGGGCTTGGATGATGGAATGCCAGGAAGCATTTGAGAAAATTAAAAAAAATACTAATGTCAGACTTGTTTTTGACACACTATGATTCAAAAAAAGTAATAATAGTTGCAAATGACACTAGTGTGTATGGTATAGGAGCCTGCATTATGCATAAACTCGAAGATGGCTCGATTAAGCCGATTGCACACGCATCCAGGACGCTTCTTACAGCTGAGAAAAATTACTCCATGATTGAAAAGGAAAGTTTAGGGATTGTCTTTGCTCTGAAAAAATTTCATAGATTCATTCATGGGAGAAGAGTTACTCTACAAACGGATCACAAACCATTGCTAGTGATTTATGGGTCCAAAAAAGAACTACCGACTCATATGACTAATAGGTTACAACTATGGGGAACCATTTTACTAAATTTCGACTTTAAAATGGAATTTATGTTATCATGTAAATTAAGTCATGCAAACAGGTTGTCCAGATTTATTCCAAGAAATAATAAACCTTTAGAAGACACGGTCGTTGCTTCTCTATAATTGGAAGTAGAGATAACATACAATGCAGGAACTACCTGTGATGTTGGAAGATATAAAAGTAAAGCATTGGAGGACAAATTTATTACTGAAATGAAGAAAAAACTTAGGACTAAAGCAGATTCAGGAGTATACTCGATATGCAATGACATTCTCATGTACAGGAAAAGAGTTTGGCACTACAAAAGAGAATCCTGAAAGAATTTCATACAGGACACCCTGGTATATCCAGAATGAAATTCTTAATGAGAAGTTACATATACTGGCATAGCACGGATAGAGACATTGAATGTCTGGTGAAGACATGCAAATGTTGTGCATTAGCAGCTAAAGCACCACCAATTAAATTCAACCCATGTCCAGAAACTGACTGCCCATGGTCACATCTGTATGTTGACTTTGCTGGTCCACTTAATGGGACGTATTATCTGATTGTCATAGACAGTTTTTCAAAGTGGCCAGAGATATTCAGATGTAAATAAACCAACCACGCAAGTAGTAATTCAGTTTTTACACTAACTCTTCACAAAGTTTGGAGTACCGGATTCAATTGTTTTGGATAATGGAACTCGATTTACATTGAAGGAATTTTGCAAAATGTTTGTTGTAAAACATATAACAATTGCCCCATACCATCCTAGAAGCAACAGCCAGGCAGAGTGTTTCGTGGATACCTTCAAAAGGCGCTAAAAAAAAGCCAATGGTGGATCCACAGATGTTGCATAACAGCAATTTTTACAGGTGAATAGGCTTACATGGAATAGAAATGCACCTTCAGCCATGACTCCAGCAGAAATTATGTTTGCGCAGAAGATACAATCAGTTTTTGACAAATTTATACCGAATAAGAAAATACTTGATCATGCAATACAAAAACCTGGAAAAAAAAATTTTATAAAATTGGTCAAAAGGTTTTTTACTGGATGTACCAATCAAATAAAACATATTGGGAAGTCAAAAGAATTCAAAGAATTGATAAGATGGCATATCTAATAAAAGGTCCTGAAATAGTGCACAAGAAGTACTATAATCAAATTAAAAGTAGCTATTCAACTCCTCCAAATGAGGTTGAACCTATGAAGGTTATTTTTGATACTTTCGATTTGCCCATCCCTCAGATAGCTCCAGAAATAGAAGTCCAAAAAGGACGGAGTAAGAGAGAAGGGATATGAAAAAAATCAAAGTCAACCCAAAAAGGAAAAAATATTGACTCTGTACAGAGTAAATTCAAAAAGTGGGGTGTTGTAGCATACTTATGGATGATAATAGGTATGCCCTCATTCCCATAAATACAGTAGTGAATACTGTATGTGGTCTAGAGTTAGAGGTTCATTGTGGAATTCACTTCTAGCAGTTGACTCTTTCTTCTATGTGCCATTGACGAATCTTATATGTGTTGTTCTTGTCCTAAGTATTATTGTTCATTACCAACCTTCGTTTGATTATTCTATTCAGTAACCTTTTCCTAGGTTACAACAATTAGCATCATTATCTGTATGTACACAAAATTTATTAAATTTTATATAAAACTACCTTCAGGGTATATGTTATTTATATAAAACTACCTTCAGGGTATATGTATAAGCTGTTACGAAATGTAAAGGAATATCGTGTTTTTGCTTGGGTTTCATTCACAAGCTGCTCCATTTTATACAAATTAAATAGCCTGTATTCCAAAATCTATAAACTGAATCACTTCCAGTCTCAAGAATTTTGGATAAAAGATTCTCAACCTGTGTGTGTGTGTGTATATATATATATATATATATATATATATATATATATATGAGTGTGTGTCGATATGAGTTTGTGACCCAATGGCCTCATGCCCCCCTGCGGTCGTCAGACAAACTGATTGTTTAAATTTTGGGTTTATTTATGGTTGTGTTTGTCGTGTGTGTGTGTGTATCTGTATGTGTACGAGTGATGTCCTGAGTAAAAAGAGGAGAATTTTTCCTCCTACTACCATCAAACACTGACATACACAACCATAAATAAATCCAAAATTTCAAAATCATTTTGTCTGATGATCGCAGGGGGCGTGAGGCCTGGGGTCACAGACTCACATCAATGCAACTAAGTATGTTAGCTCTATCAGTGATATTGAGTGCTCTCCAATAAGTACCGTGTGTGTGTGTATATATATATATATATATATATATATATATATACACACACATCCAGGTCACTATAGATAAGTAATTTCTGTAGATTTATCTTACCTAATTTGTAATATAAAGTATATAGAGATAGGTCTAGATTAGTTTAGTTAGACACATGAAATCTTACAATACCAATGTATAATCTAATGAGCAATCAAAACAAGTTTTTTTCTATCATATCTGCATAAAAAGTATAAATTTTTGCCAGGCTTAAAAATTGGTTGTAGATAACACAATTTATACATATTTCACAGATTTTATTCAAATTTTTTACTCTCTGGCCTAATTGTTATTTAATTTTAATTTTATAACCTAATATTTCAATTTGTACAGAATAATTTATTTTGCATATAGATTTAATCAAATAAAACTTTTCATAATGCATATGTACAATTTAGTGTAAGTGTAGATTGTCTATGCAATATGCTAGAAATAGTCATACTAAAGTAACAAGTTGATGCTCATCTTATCTGGGATGAGGAAGTAAATCTTACAGTAAAATTTAAACTGGAATTTCTTTTCCTTTTTTTTTTTTTTTTTACTAATATTCGACCAATACAAGACCTAAGAGCCACTCAAGATAGAGAGTTACTCTATGGAGTTATATTAGCATAGGAAATACTGAGCGTTAGGAATATAGAGCTGACGTAGACTTTAAAATGAACTAGAAATCCAATCCTAGATAGGAAACAAGGGATAAACCTCTATTCCTGTTCAAAAGACTAGAGAGGAGTGTGAACCAGATGATAGGTAAACCTATCCACTCCTAATGATATAGTCATTATTTATTATTAATTACTTAATTATCTACTGTTGCTTATTATTATTATTATTATTATTATTTATGTTTACATGTTCATTCATTAATTTGTTTATTATTTACTTACATTTTTTTTTGGCATTGGTTTTCTTATTTGTTTAGTTTAAAGTATTGACTTTGTATAAAGTATGTTACATTATTTGCATTTTTTATGTTGGTATTTTGCAAGGTATTTGTTTTTGGCTTTTGATTTTTAAGTAACGTAAAAATTTGTTTTTTGTGTCCACATTTATGAATACTGCAATTCTTTCCAGCCTCTGGAACAGTTTGAAACGCAACCACTAAAAAACCCAACCACTGTCAGGACAATGCAATAGACACATCTAACCGCAATGTACCACTGACCAGCACATACTGATTTTGATCTGAATGTTTCTATTGATCTATTAGATTAATATTTAACACTGAATTAAGTGCAGCGACAAAGAAGGGAATTATGTTAAAAAAAATATTCATGTAAAAGAAAAATTTTTTTTTTTTTTTTTTCACCATTACTCTATGAACATTTTATGGACATAAATTTTTATTTAGGCAGCTACACCATTTCACCAAGCAGGCTTACTCCTTTCATTCTTGATCTTTCTTCTCTACAGATTCTATAGAAGCAAACATTGAAACTGCCTGTTCACGAGTTGAAGGAGGTGTTGGCCAATTGAAAAAGGCTGAAATGTACCAAGTAAGAAAATTTGATATCTACAAATCTCTTCAATCTCACTTAACTTCCTTATTTTATTGTTGAATGTTGAATCAAATTGTAACAGGAGAGAGATAGGGAAAAAAGATTTATTCTTCCTTTTGTATTTCCTCTGTTATGTACACTTTTATATCCTTGATATGATAACACTGTATTTCATGGACAGAACAGAATGGTAGAAAGGAAAAGGAATGATAAACATGCTTTGTTCTCAGAGACTTTTATTCTACTAAAACAAACTTATATATATATAACAAAACTATACATATATACACATGTCCCATGTGAAGAATAATATATATATCTAAACTGCAAAGCAAAGTGTAAGGAGAAACAAAAAAGAAGGGTCTTACATATAATGGAGATGCTCCTGTGTCTGGAGAAGCCATATTTAGGACTCCAGATTCATCTATGTCCCAGGCAAAGACATATTCTACAAATGGGGAGACAGTGAGTCTTGGGTTTTCCCAAATTGAGGACTGTGAGCCGGAGTTTCTTTCTATATTTAGGAATGATATATTCCCAAAGAGAAACAGCACCATGGACTTGTAAGCTGCTGGGGAGGCATATTTAGCCTCTGCCTGGGCCATAGGGGCCCTGGGCTAAAGAAAACAGCCTTTTTCATTTGGCTGCTATAAACAAACTGACTGCAGTTCTCGCCACTGTGTCGAGTGACATCCCTAATCAGCAGTCACATGACCTGTGTGACTTATCTCCACCAAAGGGAGATAATCATATTCTGTATCACTACAAAATGAATGCATTTCATTTTTTCCCAAAAGCAGTCAATATTTCCAAACTTTTCTATGAGATCATTTCATTGGCTAATAATTTCCAAGAAACAATAAGACATTGAATTCCAGTCATAAAGGGGAAATTTTGATTCCTTGCCTAATCAGTAGGTCCTATAATATACCAAATGCATACCTTTAAAAAGTTAGGATCTGAGTAAAACAGGCCACCTTCCAGGTGGATATATGCTGACCCAGCTATAAACCAAATAGATGTTGACTTTTTTTGAATTTAGTGTAAACTAGGTTAACACTGACCTTTTTGACACTGCGTGAACTGGGCCAATGTCGACCTTTTTGATTCTAGCATAAATCAGTCCAATGTCAACCTGCCTATAAATTCATTATGTAAGACTTATAAAAGAAAAAGGGAAAGAGACATGGTGGAATAATAAATTGCAGCTCAGATTGAGGAATTAGAGAGCTGAGTTCAGATTCCAGTTGAGTTCATTACATTCACTTATGTGCCTTGGGAAAGGCAGGAATCAATCTCTTCTCCAGCTATGGGTAAATAGCAAGACAGACTGGGTTCTATAGCCTTGGGTGGCAACCAGTCTAGGAGAAGGAAAACTGAATTCAAAATTGTATGTAACCCTGATGAAGCACATACTATGCAGCTAAAGGAAAGGACTATTTCACATTGATTCAATGATCTCGACTATGGTCAAAGACTTGTATTTGACATTAAATAACTGAACATGAGTTGATATGTCGTTAAATTAATAAACCTTATTTGATTTCATGAGTAAATAGAAAAAAAAACATACTTGTTTTTCTTAATTTGCTGGAGAGAAATTCATCAGACTTTTGAATCCAAATAATTTAAGGATTATTTTATTATTTATCAAATATTACCATCATCAGAAAGTCACAACTTATTTTCTTTTCTTCTTATTACATAAAAATATGAAGATCAACATGTTCCTATTTGTTGTAAAAATCTATTCTATAACATAAAACACAATGTGCCAATATATTTTAAGTTACACATTTTGATTTTAATCTTCTAAGGAACAAGATATTTCTTTGTTCACAGGAGGCATTATTCAATACTAATGAGCAAACATGCCTCATTTTACCACAATAATGGTATATCTCATTATTAGTATGAGATAACCTTACCTTTTATTTCATGTAAGCTTTCTTTTGATATTTTTACTTTCAATGATATAAAAAGCAGATTTTTTTCTTATATGCAACATTAAAATTGATCAAATCTTAGGTTTACTAACACAGAAAATATAACCAATGCATTTGTTTTTTTTTAATATGTTGTTTTATTTGAACTGGGGTCTGCATCTCAGATTTTGCACCCACAATGTTTTGGCCATTGTACTGTGTTTTGGAATTTTTTTAACTGAACCTTTAATTCAATCCAGGTGTGTGTGGGGGGGGTAATTGGTTCTTGTTACATTACACTGTTCAAGTCCAAGATTGATTGATTCAAGGATTGAACTCAAAATGATTATATCACAAAATTCATGAATCAATGCTTTAATCCACTAGGTCAGAGGTCAGCAACCTTTTGCTAACTATGTGCTGACTTGAGATTTTAAAATCATTCAGTGTGCCAACAGTATGTCTTTTTACACAATTCAAGGTCAATATACCTGTTCTATATTTTATATAGTAATATATAATATATATATACTTTAGTATATATTAAAATTGAAACAGCTAAATATCTTCTTTGTGTTGTAGTAGTTATTGGTTCGGACTTCGTGATGTCATTTGCAGTGCCATGTGTGGCACATGTGCAGTAGTTTGCCAACCCTGCACTGGACTATTTCCCCGTAGTTACTGTGAGTTCTGTCCCTGGATCAAACAGTGAGTACTTGGAATTTGTGGAAACAGGGTGAGCAATAACTGATCGGTACTAAATATAAGAACTAGAAAAATCTATCCCAGTAGATTAAATGAAAGGTTCAGTTCAGAATTCACTGTAGGTTACCCAGATTGGCATATGCCTGATGAAGGTCAGAGGGCACAACAGCTGAAACACTGATAACAACAACAAAGATGAGGAAAATAGTTTTGCATGTAAACAGTGTAAATACTTTATTCATTAATTCAAATTATTAAATCTTTTCAATGTCCAAGGTTATTGCCTCATTTGCTGTGTTTTTGTCTTGCAGAAACGATCACGGAAGAAGATGTGCTTCCTACTGCTTCTCCTCCTCGTTGTGATTGCTGTGTTAGCTGTAATCATTGTTTTGACACTCAAGTGAGGTTTTATACTAACACACACACACACACACACACACACAAACCCAAATCCATCCCCACTCCCCAGCTGAGACAGTGAATTTCTTCTTATTGCAATATCAACAAGGGACCACTGACCTTGGTGTTGAATAATTAAAATAAACAATAAATAAAACTGACATAGGAGAATTTATTGAAAATTTTCTTTCTAGACCCCTATGTTTTTAATATTGGATTTAAAAAAAAAAAAAAAATAAACCAAAAAAAGGTCTTTTCCCTAAAAACGAGGGAGAATCATTATTATTTTTATTATTTTTTTTTTTTTTTGTGGGACTTCTTTTTTTTTTCTTTTTTTTTTTTTGCCCAATTCTTTATCAAATAAAGATTTTTTTCTTTTGTACAAATTAATACATGATTATATGTATATATGTGAATATATATTACACACAGGCATACACGACAACTCAATTTTATTAAATTGTTGAAAATTTTAAGAAAAAAGTTTTGTGTGTTTTGTTTCCTTCTTTTTTTTCTTTTTTTTTTTTTTTTTTAATGATTGGAGGATAATACTGAGAATATCATGGGCAAAGCAATGAGGAAATTTTAAGGAAAATGCAAACAAAGAAAGAGGGCTTGGAGAATTTGACACACACAGTACATATATTAAAGTAATGTAGGGCAGAGGCAGACAGATTAACCTACTTAATCTTGTGTAAATGGATGACAGAACAAGAGGTGGAAGGGATAGTAAAAAAGGCAAACATTGCTAAAAGCTACAAAGAATAGTAAGTTGTGGAGAATCATGATCATGCACATCCTAAAGGGACATGGTACTTAAAAGAAAAGGAAGAATGATTGGAGGTGGGGAACTTCACGTTGTTTGTATTTCTGCTTCTTTGCAAGCGGTTCCAGAGAATATGGATGATACACAATTGTCAGAAGTTAGCTAAATTTTAATCTGAAATTGACAGTAAGCAAGGGAATTTATATTAATGTATGTCTGTTTGGGTTAAAAGTTTTTGTCTTGAATAAACTCATTTTTCTGTAATAACGTGTCTGTACATAGGAGGAAAATACCATATTTGTTTTCTTTGTGCAATAGTGGAGAAGGCAATGGGAAACCACCCATTATCTCTCTCAAGAGAGCATGACAATTCACATATAATAAAGAAAAGGAATCTGTGGGGAAAGAAACAGGAAACCATTCTCTCAATATCTCAATCCCAATAAAGAAAAAGTCTGTGGAGAAAGAAACAGGAAACCATTCCAATATCTCTCCCAAGAGAGTGTGACAATTCACAGATAATAAAGAAAAGGAATCTGATGAGATAGGATTACTTATGTACTGTAAAAATATCATGAAAAAATAATATACAATATATCATATAACCTCCGATTCATAGTTACAAAATCACAAACAAGTCATCATGGGGGTAATTGCTTACAGTTAGTCATAAGCAGTAAAGGTTTTTCTTTAAAAGACTTAATTCAAGACTTATACTTTCATAAGTTCAGTGAACTTTGCCACCTGGCACTTGTCCACATCAAGAACCAAAGGAGATAGGCTGATGTCGCCCGTGAACTACGATGAGTTGACTTGCCGGCCTGTGAACTGCAATGAGTTAACTTGTTTTCAAATGTCAAGTGACAGGAAGAATCCATGTACAGCTTCTTCCTGTGATGCATGTGCTACTGACCAGAATGACAGTACATCTAGACCTGGGTTTTGTGCCATTGCTATACAAATGCAGCCTATTTCAAATTTTTTTTTACCTCCCAATTAACAGAAGAGAAAAAATTAAATTAAACAAACAGGTAAAATAGTAGAAAAATGCTCTACTGCAGCCAACAAATGAACTCAAATTAGTTTGAGCCATCAAGAGTCAATGGTTTCTGGTTAGCAAATAATCCATGTAAGATCATTTGTTTCTGTAATACTTGAAAAGATAGCCTGCCACCTGTTCACTCTTCCTGCCATTACAAAAGTCAGATCAGACCAAAAATGGAGTATTGCTGCCATATCTAGATTGGAGTTGTCCAATCTTCCCTTTCCAGCTTTGATTAGAGTTCAAAGACATTTACACAGCCTTTAGGCAATTATTTTTCACCTTACCACCCTTTTCCTGCAAAACTATTGCTACTATTTCCATGGAAATTGTTCTGAGGAGCTACATTCTCTAGTGTCACCAGTTCAGATCTTTACAGCTATGCCATGTACACAGAGACAAAATCATCTTCATTCCCTTTGTATTCCATTGCCAAGAATGAAGTTCTTCCTAAGAGATACTGCTTTATGGAACAGACTCCCAAGAGGATACTTCCTTGACAATGTTAACTTCTTAATGTCTAGGGTCAGCAATCATCAATCCTATATATCCTTATAACCTATATTTTTTACACTCCTAAAACAATCCCATTCAGTAGCCCTCTATTTTGAGTGGCTCTTGGGCCTTGTATTGCAAGAACAGTAGCATAAAAAATATCTAGCTCCAAACATGTTTGAAAGCTGTTAGGGAAAAAGTATCTCATTTTACAATATATAACCAGCCTCACCTTTTTGAGTTGCAAGTTAGGTAACTATTACTGATATTGCCTCTGAGAGACAGACCTTGACAAACACATTGTTGTAGCATACCTACAGACAATAATGGGTATGTCCCCATTCACATAAATACAGTAGCAAATACTGTATGTTGGTCTGCAATTGGAGATTTGTCTCTAGCTGTGCTGGTCAAACTCTGCCTTTAGGCAGAGAGGATCCCCAGACAAGCCTATGTCAAAGGGCAGAGTCTTGTCTCAGGGAAACAGCTACCTGACCCCATTTTTTATGGGGAATTTTTGGCTGAGCTCAGATACCCCACATTAAATTCAGCCTTGTGCTACATCTAACTGCATGGGGCAGTTGGTAAATATCCTGCAGTTGAAGATTCATTGTGGAATTCACTTGACTCACTTCTAGCAGTTGACTACTACTTCTACAAGTTGCTGACAAATCTTATATGTGTTGTTCTTGTCCTAAGTATTATTGTTCATTACCAACCTTTGATTGATTATTCTATTCAGTAACCTTCCCTAGGTTACAACATCCATATAAGACAAACATTAAAATAGAGATTTTGTTGTTTATTAGTATGTGCAAAATCACTCTGTACCAAAACAATGGTCATCACTGAATATAGTCACACTGGTAAGGGTTACACTGCAGTTAATATAAACCCCAAAGCATCAAAAAGTGATGCAAATTCAAATAACAAAAGCATAAAGCAATTTAAGTTATAAAATTTTACAGGAAAACTAACCTTCCTGCTACCACTGTTTTGCCACCTTTGGAATTGTCAGGCAATGTGTTAAACTTTCCATTCCTGGAATGGAAAGTCTAACTCAGTGCCAGAAGTGGTGAAACTGTAGTAGTGAGAAGGTGAGTTTTGTGTGATGTATTTTGTCCTTTAGGACTTCATCAGACTGAGTTTGTTTATGTTGGTGTGATAGCATATACGCATGATCAAGAGTTGCTGGTAATTCTAATTTTGAATTATTTTCATTTTTTTTCTTTATATATATGGATGAGGTTATAGTTGTTCCAATGAGAGAAAAGTGTATACTTTAAAAAGAAGATAAACCTCAAACATATGCCCTGGCCTTCTTCAGGTGATTGGAATTTCAAAACAAACTCTTTATTTCATCCACTGAGGTAGATTATTCTAGTTCCAACCAACGTCTTTATCTACTGGACACATAGCCCAGTGGATAAAGGCGTTGGTTAGATCCAGTGACTAGACCCAAAAGTTGTAAGTTCAGTACCAGGCCGCAACAGTGGTGAACCAAAACTTGGAAAGTTGAGTTAAAGAGAAATAACAGAAACATTTGGAAGAGGCATGGCACATGGAACTAGAAGGATCTACCTTAGTGGACGAATTAAAGGGTTTTTTTTTTAAATTCCAACCACCTGAAGAAGACCAGAGCATACAATGTCTGAAATGTTAGTAAATATGGCAAGAAAGATGAGGACAATAGTCCAAGTTTAAATAATTAATGTCAAAATGTAATGTGTTGAGGTATTGAGAGAGCTAAGAATTCTAAATGAAGGAATAAAAATAGCAATTGGAGAAAATTATAAAAAACCAGCTAATCAGATTGGAACCTGATGGAAGAAAGTTTTGTTTAAAAATATTACCAGAACCTATAAAATGCTTTTGGGAATGGCACTAGTGAGATTTAAATCTAAAATAAACCTAGTAAGATTTAGTAAATTCAGTACAACTGAATTCTCCCTGTTCCACCTCAGGAAATTACAGCAAAAAGATTAATGTGTTTACCAAAATTTTGCAAAGTCTAGATGAATTCTGGGAAGTGTTTATTTAGATAACTATTCAACCAAACTTAAATTTATTCTTACCAAAATGCCTGAAACAGAAACACGCCATGTTTGGTCATAAGTACTTTAGAAATATAGTCATATGTGTCATTAATAGGAAGTTCTTTTTTTGGTGATAATATTCATCAATGTCATTATCCTGGTCAAATATCTATGTAAGTCAAAGCATGCAGATGCTTATTTTGCACAGGGATTTCAGAGATTGTCACGCCAGGACACCATAAAGATGTTTTTCCCAGTTGGTTATATAGTTTACATAACTTTTTGCCATGAAATAACATCTATCTTTTTACTTTTCTTCTCCTCAAGCCAAAAGAAATCCTAACTCACAGATCCAGACATCTAACCTAGCAGTTAACTCTCTCTTGATACCTCAAGATCCTAGTAGAAATTCAACAAAGAGTGATTGTAACCTTTTGTCAGCCTATGGTATTAAATTGTTGCTGATTTTTTACATTGGCATTTATTTTTTCTACTCATAATCTTTGCCTTTCAAGAAGGTCTTCCGTCCAAAGAAAACCACAGCTCACTAGAATATGCAGAAGAATGCAATCCAACTGAGTACTCAACAACAAGACACTTAACAATTGAAGACTGGTAACAGGAGAAAATATCAAATGGATAAAAAATACTCATACCCACAAAACATTAGACCTCACTTGCCAGTGCAAATAAGAAATAATATTTGAATGGCAACTGATTGCAGGTGTGTGTTTGTACCATGAAAAATATATTACTTTAAAAAATTAAATATAAATGTATATACAAATTTATATTATTTATCCAGATGTGTGTGTGTGTGTGTGTGTTACATCATCATAATTACCTAGGAACCAAGTCGTGATCTCTCACTCAGTGGAGACAGGTAATTCGACTTGTATAAAATTGGACAAAAAAAAAGGTAAATATCTTTAAATTATTGATGTTTGACAAGAAGCTGTGGTCATCTTGGAAGCTGGGGAGGGGGGGAGGTGACCTTGATAATATTGGCCTAGAGAAGCAATCCCCAGTGTGCAACATCTTTGGAAAGTAACTGAAAACCATACCATGTATTAACTCAAGCCTTGCAAGTGTAATTAGGTAGACAACTATTCAGAAGCTGTCAATAGTTGGATTAGCACAAAGTCACAAGTCATCGTGACCAAGGTCTTGAATGTGCTGGCCTTATTCAAAATATTGATTATGCCAGGGCTCTGAGTTAAGCAGATATTTGTAATAAAGATTTGCTCGTCACCCTGGCAGGTGAGTGTGTTCGGAAATATTTGTATATATTAATATGTACTTTTAAAATATCCATTTTGAAGGTCATAATAAAAATTTAAATATCTTGGAAGTGTTTTAACAGAAGATAGAAAATGCCATACCAAAATCAGAAGGTGCATTGGAATAATGAAAGGTGTCTTCCAAAAGTTAAGCAAAGTATTAAAAAACGGGAAAATTTCATTGGAAACAAAGAAAAGAGTACTGAAATGTTACATAATATCAGTCCTCCTATATGGCAGTGAATGCTGGACAATCTCATCACAGATGGAAAAGAGACTTGAGGCAACAGAAATGTGGTTCTACAGAATGATGCTGAGAATTCCATGGACTGAACATTTGAGCAACAATGAAGTCATAGAGAAAATTGAAACAAAAAGAATACATATTTAATATTAGAGATAGTTAAAATTTCTAGGGTACATAATGAGGAAAGAACACTTGGGAAATTTGACACTCACAGGACATATTGAAGGCAAGAGGAACAGGAAATCAGTGAATAATCTACCTAACAAGGTTTTTTTTAAATTGTTGGCAGAACAATGCCCTGAAAGAGAATAAAGTTTTAAAATTCTTATTTGTTAGATCCATATCCGCCAGCTGAAGTGGTGGAAGGTAAACAGAAATTATTTAAACCATTAATGCCCACTGGCCTAATTTTGGACAATAGGTATTAATAGGTTATAAATGGAAACCTATAATTAATACAAGATTTTAAGTTGGGTAAGTTATTATTACCTGGAAGCAACTTGTGGTTTTGTGGCAAACAAAACACTGCTTAATAAATAATAAAGGAAAGGAACGTTAATAATTGGAATTGTACTTTTTTTCTTTCTTCCCTCTCACCAGACTTTTTTAATTTTTTTTTTTACGTCTTAGCATCATGATATTCCTATAAATCATGATTAAGACCAGTTGTTATTTACTAAATTTAGCTTAGGGTTAGGACCAAACTCATTACTCAGAAGTAATAGTCAACCAGACTATCTCACTAAACATTACCGACCACAGAAGCACACTTTGTTCTTTATTAAGCTGAGCTAAGCTTAGGTTTACAGTCATATTACATTGAAACACCAGTTCTTGTATGATCACTGAAGTTAAGCAACATCGTGCCTGGTCAGTACCTAGATGGGTAACCGCTTGCAAATACCAGGTGCTGTAAGCTTGGATGGTATAATGAACTTATGGCCATATCATGTTGAAACATTGGTTTTCATATGATCACCAAAATTAAGCAACATCAAGCCTGGTCAGTATCAAGATGGGTGGCCACTTGGGAATACAAGGTGCTGTAAGCATAAATGTGATAATAGCTTTGCATTGGAAATCAGAGAACCAAGTTTCAGTTGGGTTCATTATATTCACTTACATGCAAATACCCTTGGGAAAGATATGAATCCACCTCTTCTCACCCCAGCTATGGGTTAATTAGTAAGGCTTGTATCGAATCATTCTTATAATCTAAAAATCAAATCAATCATAGTTTAATTCGTTTGGTATTAAGCACCCAATGAGGATGGAACTCACTACTAATTTCTAATGGTTAACCAGACTAGCTCATTCACCATTACCTCACACCAAGACATTCTGGGATTGTGATTAATTAGTGGTCTTTTAAACAAAAAAAAAATCAAAAGGAGAAAAAGAAAATGTAGCAAACATATTGGTACAGACACAAAAGAAGCCCTGGATTGTGTGTGAACATGTTTGTCAACACCAGTTACATCCAAGTTTTCACTGCTAGCAGCAGGACAGCTTGACATGTCTAGATATGGGCCTCTCTGCAACTGCTCAAGATGCCTTATAATGATAAAAGCAATGGGGAAAACCAGAAGTTGGCAAGAAAGTCAGAAGCTGACAAGACATGGTGTCTTGTGAAGTCGGTCATGCGGGAATTTTATTTCTAAAGTTGCTGCAGTGATCGAGGTAGTGTTAATTTTGTTACCTCCTATCTTTTTCCCCTCTCTGCTTATTACCCTCTGTAGTTGTTGGGAGAGCAATCAGTTAAGTGTTTTCCCCAACCTCAACACACTGTTGCCATATATTATAACAGAAAAATTGCTCCATTCTGAAAATATGTAAAACTGAATGTCTGTGATAAAAAAATAAATAAAAAAATGCAGTATACCTGTTGGGTCTCAGTACAACTGAAAATTTCAACTTTAAATAGTTAAAGAATCAATTAGCTAAATCATGGTTATTGTGAGGAATCTGTTAAAAAAAATGGATATTCAAATATATTATTTTTTTTTGGAGGGAGACTTCTTTTTCTTAGTTATTGATTTTTTTTTATTTCAATCTTACTTTTGTGTTTTTTGATAAAATTTGTCATGACATGAAATGACCATAAGTTAATACCGAGTGGCGACGGTCTGTTTCATACTTGAATACAATCTTCAGACATGGCATGAAGATTTCATTATGTAGACTAGATATTATGTTTATTGGCTTTTTGTGTGTTGATTTGGGATCTTTTTTATGTACATAAGATAAACATGCATTAAATTCTTTAAGAATAAAAGTCACCCTAATTAAATAAACCATAATTCTTTACATCAGAAATAAAGGGTGTTTCAATAACTTGGACTGATTTTAAATGTGAATTAAGTTTAAGCATCTAATGATTTTTTCCTTTTTCTTTCAGATTTAACTTAAGTTTTTGGCAATTTCAACCATGGAAAGATTAACAATCAAACAATATGTTAAAGTTATTGAAGCCTATTACAAATGGACATTCAAACAGAAATGCATTTTGCGCACTTCACAATATTTTTGGTCAACATAATCAATCAACCAACCAAGAGTGCAATTGGAAACGATGTAAAGTTGTTGTGGATAGGTTCAATTCCTGTGCACAATGACAAATAGAGGTGTCTGGATTTTTGGCCACATTCTTATGCACTGCAGCAATGTTTTTAGCTGAACAGTGTAAACGAGTACACAATGGTGTTTTCACATCTGCCACCAACCTAGTTTGTTTGAATTTACAAACAATTTTTCCAATTGCACTCTTGAAACTTTAACATGTTTGATTGTTAATCTTTTCATGGTTAAAATTGCCAAAGACTTAAGTTGTTAAATCTGAAAGAAAAAGAAAAAAACCATTAGATGCTTAAAATTAATTCACATTTAAAATTGGTCCAAATTATTGGAACACCCTTTACTTCAAGGACCTACTAATAACAATGTTACCAACTATAAACACACATCAAAAACATATAACATCACTAACTTTTATTGAACCCATTCTTAAAGAATCTAACATGTTCATCAAAAAACAAACAGTATGTATGTAAAAAAAACCATTCCCATATCAACATGCAAAAAACCAGCAAACATAATATCTACTAACAGACACTGAAGAATATACATTATCATTCGAATCCCACATTAACAAACTAGAATTTATCATACCCTTACTTTCATAAAGCAATATTTGCTTTTTTTTCAATTAGGCTTGTAATCCATTGATTTCTTTGAACTTCAAAAGGATGTGTTGTCTCTCCTTGAATTTGGAATGTCACAAATTATACTAATGTTTATTTAACAAGTCGAATGTGCATGAAACATGATTAACCAATGAAAATCAAACTACACAAAAGTAAAAATATGAGAATTTCCTCCTATCTCATTTTCTGATGAAGTTTTAATAAAAGTGAAACGTTAGATTGATAAACGTTTCCTACTTGTTCTTTATTTTATCAGTCTGTAGGATTCTGATCCATATTTGATATGTGTGTGTAAGTATATAAGTTACTCTACAATCAAATGACTGAAAAAGTCTTATTTTATGCAACAAATATTTATTTTTCAATATGATCTCCTTCCTTGTCAGTGTACTTAATTCACTGGTGATTATTAATTACATAGACTGAACATTGAGTGAAGATTTAGTATCAAAATTCAGCTCATATATAAAAAGAGTTTGTTGAAAATTTCTCACCCTGACCAAGAAGCACTTGCAAAAAGAAAAACAAAAAGGATTTGATGTTTGGCCATTTGTTAAAATTTTTTATAAGATCAGGCTGAGAACTTTTGAGCAATCCCTCAAACATACATGTATACTCACAAAGTTGTTCCAGAAATAATACCTCTTATTTATTTGCTGGCCTGTGACATAAGAGGCAGGATGTTGTTGGTATGACAAAAGTTGAAACTTTCTCACCTATAATTAATTTTTTGTTACAAATCACAGCTGAGCAATAATCAGACAAATAGGATCTGAAATGAAAATGCATATGAAACAGAATTTGTATGTTGAATATTTCTATGTAGAAAAATGACACACTAATATCATTATCATTATCATGTGATAAACTTTTACAGAGACCAAACAGTGTATGTGAGCACTGTCAGGCAGTGTGTAAAATGTTTTAATAGTAACAACGGTAATGTATATTGATATTCGGTGTCACATAAATGTTTTTTAATTTTTTTAAGGCGGATATTGGTAGTAGCCTGGAGAAGTTCCAGTAGCGGTAGTTTTGAAGTCAGACCATGCTAAGGGCAGTAATAATATTAGAAATAAGTCAGTGTTAATCTACTGTGTTTTTCTTGGTCTTAAGCAGGGAAAAATTATTATTAGCAGATGATCTACTTCTTCACATGTCATGCATGGTTGGTTTCTCTGGTGTAGCTTCTTTTGTTTTGTCTCTCTTGTTCTAGCTCAGGAATAACTTTTTGACCAGGCTCCAAGATTCTGGCAGGAACTTTGGTTTCAGCTAGCATCAAAAGTCTCTTTGTGTTAATTTTTTGATTATCCAAAATTATTTTATTTTCTGGCATTCCTTTCTTTTTGCATTTTTTTTTATAATGGAAGTTATGCATGGAGCCTCTCTGTATTTTGGTAGTTTTCAGTCACAAATTAGTAGGCTTTGAACCTGCAAACTTTCAACGTTTTTCAATCAGGTTCAGTCTTTTCTCCTTCTTGCCTTCTTATTACTTGAGAAGTATAGAAAAAGAAGTTTAGAGAAAGAGAAAGAAATAGATAAATGCTTTAAAGGAAAGCACAAATGCCTTATTTTAATTTTAATTCTTTTTATTTTTTGATTATATATTTTATTTCTATATTAAATTTTATTTGGGTTTTATCAGATCTCACTACACTTTCAACTACAGATATTTTGAACATAACTTTATATTTTCAGGGTAAAGGTATGTTTTTAGATATATAGTCTGTAGATCATAAAATGTATTGTTGGTAATTTTACTATAAAATGTATCTTTATATGTTTTTGGTGTTGCATTGATTATCATTTTGCTATAAAAATGTATTGTTACTCATTTTATTATAAAAATGTACTGTTGATTTTTGTTTGGGGGGTTCACTATTTCCCAATAGCTACCACCCCAGGTCAGGGTGGACCTGGGAACAACAGCAATTAAGAGGCGGTTTCATACTCCTCAAAACCTCCAATTTCTCAATCAGAGGCCTTGTTGTTGGATGTAGTTTATTATCATACCCAGGATGCATGTGGGCTGTAGATTCTTTCAACTTGAGGAGAGTGCAACTGTTAGCTCTGACTTATATAGACGTTTATCTGGGAGAATGATATTGATGGATATTATCTTTTCACAAAGACCCTCTTACTAGGAAACCAGATGGTTATGTTGAAAAGTATTTTCAATCAGACATGGCACTTCCAAAAGTGCCTCTAGTGATATTCTGGGTTCAGATATTTTGACAAGAATCAATGTAAATTTGGTTGAATAGATTGCTAAATAAAAACTTCCCAGAATTTGACTGGATTTTGCAGAATTTTGGTAAACACATTAATCTTGTCACTGCAACTTCCTTGAATATGAGAAGTGGGGTAAGAATAATTCAGTTGTACTAAATCTTACTAGGTTTGTTTTGAGTTCAAATATGACTGATGTTGTTGTCCTCATAAGCATTTTATAGGTTCTGGTTAATGTTTTTCTTCCATTTTTTTTTTTTTTTTGTTTTTTTTTACAATGATGGCCACCCTGTAAAAGGACCAAGGGCTACTTGAGATAGAAGGTAACAGAGTAAGGGGGAGAGTTTATTTGAATATGTGGGGAAGATAATGGTTAACCCTAAACTTGTACAAGTTAAGATTATAGGGATCAAGAAGCATCCTCTTGGAAGTCAAATCACTTCATGGGAAGAAGCTGCTCAAGTGGAACTTACATTTCACCAATGGAATACGAAAGGAATGAGGGTGGCTTGCTACAATGGGCGTGGCATGGTGGGTCTTAGCCATGAAGATTAGAACCTGTGGAATTAAGGAATGAATTTCAGAAGAACACTTTCCATGAAAATAGCGATAGAGCAG